TAAATGTTTGTGGAAATTTCAGATTAATTAAATGAGTAGCCATTTTGGTAATTACATTTAAAGAGCTTTTAAGACTTGGGCTTAAAATTTACTTAATGTTTCTGGTTGTTATATAACAAAAAATTAAGAAATGCACTAAGAAATTTGTTTAACCCATTAAATATCAAGTTAAACACACCTCCTTATTATTCTATTATGCAAAAGTCAATAGATTGGCTTAAGATTCTTTTAATTGCTTTTAAATGAGCTGGCACATAACAAGAGAGCTCTCTTCATCGCAAATTATGCAATCAACGAACTCTTAATATTCAGAAATCACTTATGCAATCTTAAAGTCCGACCCAAGAACTTCCTCCATTCAAAGTTTAATCGAGTGAAATCACTCTCTAATTGTCCACGTACATTTACTGCATATCTAGACATTGTATGCATTAGACCCAATCACGATCGCAATCCCCTTCCCAGATGCATCATCATCATCATCATCATCTCGGCGATTGTGCTCTTCTGCCTTTCACACCACATTCTCGGGCGATGAACACAGCATAAAGAACAGCAATTCATAAAATGTTTAACAAATGATACTATATTGTTGTGTTATTAATAACTTTTGATTGTGCCGGCCATCCCCACTTCGCATTTGGATAAATGATTGTCGACCACCCACGATGGACACTGGACAAACATTTGATTTTGACTTGTTTATCATTAAATTTACAAAAATAAAAAAATATTAAACTAGCAAGGAAGTCAAAAGCTTAACTGAGTCATGGGAATATACCAAAAGATTCTTAAATTTGGATCGTTACGCCAAACAGAATGTGTCATCCATTAGTGGGTCTAAGAGTTAGATCCAAAAAAGAGAGCTTTGCCAATTAATTATATAGCGGATACAACTTTCTCATATTCAAAAGATTTTGTTAAAAGAAATATTACTACAACCCACAGTAAGAGCCCATAAAGTAGTCGTCGCCCGCACTCTAAATACCATAAAATTAGTCATAATTCAGACAAAAGATAAAGCCGAAAACAAAGCATTAAAATCGAAGAAAAAAATCGGCAAATAATTTGCCAAAAATGGCCAATTAATAGATCGCTATCAAAAGCGGTGAACGGTTAAACAGCTGCTGTATACCGCAGGCCAACAACATGATTTGGGCCAACTCAAGCAGTTGGCAACAAGAAAAAAGCCAAATAACATGAAAAGAACGAGAAAAAAGCTTTGAAATAAAGTACAAAATGTGGTAAAGATATAGAACAACTTAATTTATGAAATGTAAATACAATATTTATTTAAACAATATAAAAAGGTGTATAACTCTCATGTAACTATTGATTTAATAAGCACTCCTTCTTGGTAAAGGGTTACTTTCCTTGGCATCCTTAGCTAGATTCAATCCCCTAAAATCCCCATAAATTACCACCAAAAAACCTGGCTAATAGCATCTATAAATCGCTCAGCTCACCGATATGCAAATGCAGCAGCCAGGCCAAAAGCAAATTGTGCGATAACCAAAGCTAATTGGAAATTCCTGCAGGCAATGGCAAGCCAAAAAGTGAAGGCAAAACCACAGGCAGCAGCAGTGGCACAAAACAAAAAAAAAGGAAAAAAAATACAATAAATGCGACTCTATATGTATGTAAATGCAGGCCAACTGCAGCATGAATCAGGTCCGGGAACGCAGCCGGATATATTTATCCATATAATACTATTGACATGCAGCGCTTAGAACCCTTGAACGATCGGCTGACGAAATGGCAGGCACAACGGCCATAAGTCGAAGACATTAATCTCCGCCTGTCTGCACATCTCGAGGCCCGGCCAAGCCACACACTAGGCACTCGACACTCCACCTCCATGGTTCGTTCCCTGGTGACAAGCCCACCACCGCGGTCTGTGGTTCGAGCCTCCAGCTTAACCCAACATTGGGAATTCCCTTCTCTCTCGTTTGAGCAACCTTAACCCTGTCATATCAGTTGAATTCTTGAAGATACTTATACAGGGATTAAAAATACATTCTCGGCTGATGACTCAATCAGGCAAATCCATTTTATTCATACTAAATGTATGCTTTATGGCTTGTGATTAGTCTTTGCTGGGAGATTTAATTATACGCACTATTTCCTACTGATTTATGGCAGTGCAATGCATTTAGCAATCAACGAGGTTTCAATAAAGATTTTCCTGTTGTTTTCAAGATGAATTAAAGTAACAAATTGCTTGTAATAATTGAAAGTATGCTTAATAAATACATCAAATGTTAAATAAATCATGCAGATTCTACGTAACTATAGAGAAATTAAAGAACTTAAGAGTCTACTAATTACTAGTGATACAATATAATACATTTTCGAATTAAATGATATCTTTTGGGCAAGACAAGAGACAGTTCACATGAACAGAGTTAATATATTGGTTTCCCTCTCCCTCCGACTCTGTCACTCTTTTATGTCTCTTGGCTTTAAGGTATTTACTGTTATGGCCACTGCAGTTTTATGCTTGACCTTCAAACCGATCACAGCAACTGGACAAGAGGCAACGACTTGCTCTTTGCCTGGCAACCTGGCAAACCGAAACTTTCCAGCGCGGCCCCCGGTGATTTCTATGCAAGTTCGTTGCCTAAGTCTTTTGTCTGAGCCAAAGTCTAGACGAATTTATGAGGCGTGACCGGCAACATGACGCGTTAGCTTTACAATAGAGTCATCAGCCCTGATCACAAGACCCAGCCTCCTATTCCCGATTTACCCCGCCCCCCGCCCCCTCCCGAACTGTTATACTTAATGGGCATGGAACCAGACTGGAAAAAAATGTCTAAAAATAACAAATGTGCCGCAATTACCAGCATAAAAAATAAGTTGCGAGGGGAAAAAATAGAATAGCCCACGCGACCCGACCGACCGACCGACCGTCTCAAACAAGCTGAGAACGCCCCAGAGGAATAATTTGCGCTATAACTCGCCGTGTTCGCCTGTGTGTTTGATGTGGGAAACACTCGAAATTACCAAAAATTTCGGCTGTCGAAATAAGTAATAATAAAAATACAAAAAAAAAAAAGCGACTCGAAGAGAACAGCAGAAACAACAGTAGAACCCGGCACGGCACCCGGATTCATTATTTATGGCTCCCATTGTTGTTAATTTGCTTTTTTTTCATATATTTCTTCATACATTTAATATTTATTGATTTCTCTGCTGGACACAAGACGCATTCATCACGTGCGTCATTTAACAGTTCAATTGATTTGAATAAAAGTGCTATTTATAGAGCCTGACTGCGGCCTGGAATTTAATTACCGCAGCGCCTTAGGGCCCAAAAACTAAATTTTCCTCTAATCGCTGGCTATGACTAGTCAGATTCTGAATGCAGAAAACATTTTGCTGCGAGTTGCTATTATCTAACCACATTTATTAGCGGGCTTTCTCCTTTCCCGGGTGTAGTCTGTCTCAACCGGTCGGTTTGCCTTCTAATTGGACGGCAGAAAACCGAAGCGGATATATAAACCGAAAGCATTCGGTACTTTCCAATTTATAACAAAACAAACAAAATTCCACATATTAAGTTCAAACCAAAAAATCCGGTTCTACTTTGTTCTGTTCTGCTTGCATGTTTGGTTCTCTCTGCTCCCCAAACAATTTGTTACAATTTATTTTTGGCTATTAGGGACAATGCCAATTTTTTTGTGCGCAATTCTCGTATTCCCAGCTGACAGTAATTTATGATATTAATTGGTAATTAATTAAGTAAGGCATGGAGTAGTGGGATCTCGCATGACAAACGATGATTTGATGGGATTACTATCCCAAAGCCATCTCCTTTTTTGGCCTCCACCCCATTGCGCGCGATATGGGGAAACCGTCCGTCATAGCCATTCATTAATTAGGGCCTTTTGGCATTGTTCGGACACGGCGTACGCTTATCTTTTTTACGGCTTGTTAAACACAGTTTGAGAAACATTTTATTTAATTAATGAGCTACGAGAATTAACAACTAAACGGGGCGTATCAAATGTCTTTACTACTTTGGTGGCTTTTTTTAAAACTAGAGATGGTTTGGTTGAGGTATAATTTAAGGTGTTTCTTGATTTTTAAGATATATAAAGATGATTTTTGGAATGGTATACAATACCAAATATTAATTTTGCTTTTTTAAAATTTAATTTTAATCAAATTTTTAATTAAATATATTATTTTCTTGGATTTTTACCATCTTTACTTAATTTTGTTTAGTTTAGAGTTAAAATTAGTAACTTTAATATGTAAATTACTAATTAAGATTTATTTTAGACTCTTTTAATTAAAAATACCGTTATTTAAAATATCCCCTTTGCCGCCTCGTGTCACGCTCTCATCGCAAAGGCGAAAAATCACGGCGCGTGGCAAATAAAATACGCAAAATAACTTCAAAAGCCAAGACAACAAATTAGTTGCCAAATTAGTCGTAGCCATTAAAAAATTGCTTAGCACTTTACAAATTGGACAAAGCCCAGAGCTTGCCAAATCAACATAATATCTATAGAAACTATTTATTAAAACAGCCGACGCACTAATTTATGATCGTCTCTACCAAGAACAAGTTCAAAATATATACAAAAAACAAAATTTATATATATATAAATTAATCAGATCATTGACCCAGAGAACTACTGAGAAATTCTGATCGAGGGCCACACCCTCTTGCTCTCGCTGAAATGAAGAGGATTACCCAGAACCGTTAAAGACAAGTAAGTCTGGCGAATTCCGCCCATCCAGATTCAGATCCAGTTCGGGAATCCAATAAATAAATTCAATTTAAATTCAGCTTAAAAGGTAGCCATAAAAGCGAGAAATTACCTTGGATCATTTGCAGATGACCAAGCTGGTTTCATCCCGCCTTTTCCTTCATGAATGATCGATTTTTTATCCCCCGCTTGGCTTTCACTAACTAATTGGTATTTAACATAATGAAATATTAAAAAATTCATAGGGTTTTGTTTTCCATTTTAAATGCTGTACGAATTATATATTTATTTTGCTTGCTTTAGTTTATTGGGTGTTTGGGAAAGATGAAAGATGTAGAGAATACACACATTTCGAATGTGAGGGAGAGTGAGAAGAGTGCGAAAGCGAAAGTTGTACAATGTAAGGCTTAGAATGTATAAACTAATTGAATTTGCACTTGGAAAAGTCCATCTCCGGATGCTGTTGCTTGAATCTGTAAGGGAAAGAATATGAAAGAAGTGAAGATTTTGTATAAATAGATAAGTTAGGGGAATACAAATAAATATTTTTCACAAAACTCCCTGAGAAGTGCTCAAAATACTCATTAAAATTATAACTAAAGTCCCACTACTCACTTCTCGAGTATATCCTGTTTCTTGCGATCATCACTGGTGGGCAGACCCATCTCCTTCTGCCGCTGATCAAACATCATTTTCTCCACCATGCTGCGCGTCTCCCCATCCAAATCCGACAGCTTCGAGGGCTCCGGGTTGATCTTGCGCGTCGAAATCTCCGGATCGGTGGTCACCAGACGACTCCACCAGTTCATCTTGTTAATCTTCTCCAGTGTGATCATTACAGTCTTGCTATCTTGCAAGACCCACACGCACTCCTCCTGCTTCACCTCGCCGCACAGCTCGCCATCGATGATGGGCTCTTGACCTTTGAGACCCACCTTCAGCGACTTCCTACCGATATTGACCACCAGATCGCGGGCACGTAGAGCGAATGTCACGTTGAAGGGAATCTTGAGCTGCAGAGAGACGAAAAATGTGATAAAAAATAGTTAATATAGAGATTTAAGATGGAGATTATAATGAATTTCAATAGGTAAAAGAGCTTCAAGTTAAAAATTCTTAAAATAAATGTTAGATCTTTCTTTAAAATCCCACAACTTTAACCCATCAAACCCCATTTGTATAGTTTTTTCCCAAGTGTAATCCCAAAGCCTTTCCGTTAATGACAATCAAACTAGAGTAGAGTGGATTATTCAGGGGGTTCTTCGTGTAATCAAGCTTGGAGTGGCAGGTCTCTTGTGATTAATGATCGGATGTGTACATCTACGGATGATTCTTTAGCCCCAGACTTTGCTTTGGTCATTGCACAACCTTGGCGAGCTAATAACGATCTCTCTCTATAAATAAATCCAAGCCACTGCAGGCACAGGGGCATGTCTCCTCGGTGAACCATACATATCACAGCTGCCAGATCTCTCGGCCTGCCCTTCACCAAGATCAACGGATCGAGATGCGAGTCTTCCTTTGTTCAAGGACCCCAAGTAGAACGGGAATTTAGTTCAGCTGCCAGTTCAAGGACGTACGTACAGCGGTTCTTGAGGTCCGGTTAAGGGTCTCAGCTCCGCTTGATGGAGGCGAAGATGTTGGGAATGTCGCTCAACAGGTTGCAGGTTGCCTAAAGAGGCGATGGAGTTATTTATGCGGCTTGCGGCGGCCTGGGTTGGCTTGGTTTAGCTTGGCCAAGTTCACAGCAATTACACTGGCGTCTAGAATTATATGCCACGGCTGGCCATTAATTATAAATCGCACGGATACATGCATACATTAACACCTTTCCCATTAGCTCGCAGCATAATTAAAGCCAGAGTTATTAGACAACTGGCTGTGCAATCAATTAGCGAGCGGCTCGAGCGGCAGAAACAATGAGAGGGGGCAGGGGTAAGCCCCTTTAATTTAAATCTCACGACGACGACGCAGCAGCAGCAGCATCCGACCAAGGACGCTTTCCACAGCGACCACAGCTCATATCTCACAGTGGAGTCTCTCCATGCTGATCGTGTGGGCAGCCAGCCAAGGTGGCAGCTACTCCGAACTCCAAAGCGATTCTTCTTTACAGAGCAGCACGCGGCTCGTGTCAACAGAAGCTCATCGCGATCAGCGATCACGGATCACCGATCTTTTGGTGCCCATGTGGGTGGCACCATCTTCATCATCACCCCAGCGATCGCCGTGACCAAAAAAAAATGTGTCAAAAGCTGAAACTGAAGCGGATGTCAATTGGAAACGCTGAATAGTACGCGGATGTAAGGCTACGACACAGAAATAGCACCAGAAGCAGTCAGAATCTGAAGTCTGCGGAATACGTGGGCAAATCTGGCACTTGGCAACAGCAAAAATAAAAGAACTCTGTACCATTTAGATCCAGAAATGTGCGGATAATTTGGACAAAATGGTCCAATTAGTATTTTTGCAAATTAATGAGTTCAAGATTGAATAGAACAAAGATTGATTCAATTATTTACCTTTCACTTGAAGAAATATAAATTAATCATTGGAGTTATTAAAGAAGTATGTTAAAAAACAATATAACCAGCTAAAACTAATTGAAATATATTGTACTTGGACATTTGTTATAAATAATTGGATTGAATTTGGATTTTAGAACCTTTATCTTTGTCTAAATTAACAATTACTATCAAAATATAAATATAATGGCAAATAAACTAATTAAATTCATAGAATTTTTAGTCACTAAAATGAAGTTCTAAGGACCCTGTATTACCACTCCTTTTTAACTCAAATATACACCATTTAAAGTCAATTACTTTGTATACTTCATTTTCATTAAGTAAACATAAAATGAAAGCCAATTCCTCAAGGGTTTTACGTTCAAAAAAGGCCTAAATGTGAAGGTTTGCATGTGTTTTTGGAGCTTGAATTTTTGAAAAGTTAATTAAGTAAATGTAAAGACAATGCCGGCGGCTTTCTCAAGGGACTCTAAAACCGAAAAAAAAACCATTCTGCATTTGCCGAAGGTTATGCAAATGGCAGCAGACGCAAAGAACACCATGCTCGAAACTAGGAAATTTACACAAATCAAAAATCGGCAGACAAGAGGGAGACTAGCACACACCTACGGCCATTAAGGCACCTCAACAGGTGGGACACACATGCAAATGCCTTCAGCAGCATAGAGGAAAAACAATAGAGGCACGAAATGAAGCTGTACCCAAAGGTAAAGACACAAAGCTGAAGAGTCACTGCCAGTCAAAGTCAGAGTTCGTCGCTATTGGGTTCAGAGAAGCGGCGGCAACAGCATATAGAAGGTGTCGTCGTGAATGAATTAATGAATAATAACAAATATTGATGGCTGCGACGACGGCATCAGGAAAAAAAGACTAAAAGAAGAGACATACAAAATATCAAGCACGAGACATGGCACACTTATCCAGGTGAGAGCGCGGATTCGCAGACGGTTCGTCGTCGGACGGTGGGCGATTTTATGCAAATGCCGCGGGCTGGGCCAATATGCTGAGGATGCTGCACGTTAAATCGGCAACCAGTTAATCGATCATTCAAATCTCCCAAGCTTTTCGAACTAATTTGCGACCTCCTCAACCCCTTCATCCACTCTCTCGCAATCTGCAAAGTGAAAGACATCTTTGTCTGCTGCCGTTTTAATAGCGCGATTTGTTGTTATTGCTTCTTCTGCCGCCGCCTGATTAATTCTATAAAACTTGAACAGCATTTCATTTTCTTTAAATATCTAGCCGAGTATAATTTATGCTAAAAGATGCGATCCGGTGCCAGGCACCACCAAAAAAAATGAAATAGGAAAAAAGAACGGCCCCAACAACAGCAACAGACAACGGTCTCCCCTGACCAAAGTAGCGTAGAAACAACAACTCAGCGTCCATTTAAACAAAATAGAAAAAAAAGAAACAACAGCCGATATAGCTTCGTTGATGGAGTCGAGTGTTTATAAGTGTGTGCCGAGTGTTTTGTATTCGATAATGTTATCAGCGAGCCAAAAAACAGCTGAGTAGCCCAAAGAACTAAGGTGTAGGGTACAGTGAAGGGTCACAAAATGGAACGAGGGAGCCTTTCTTTAATAGATGATTTTTAAGAAATAAATTCACTAATAAACTAATCATTTCATTTGGCATTATCAAGCCATCAGGAAAAAAACAATAGCTAACTCGCAAAAAGATTATTAATCGATAATTAATCGATGTTTGTTATGAAAGTACAAACATCGATGTTTTTCCAGCACTATTAATTTAATGCTCTATTAAATTATACAATTGAACACCTTTAAAATCTATAAAATCGTCTACACATTTAAATCTCCTTAAAAAAAGTAATATATTTAAAAAAAAAACTTTCCGTAATTCTTCTCAAAATCTAAACCATTCTCCTGGATTTTCCCTGCTTGCGATGTGCTACTGTATGCTCATTAAAAGCGGCTTAAACTTGACTTATTTGTGGCCAGAAGTGGAGTAGAGACCCAAAACATCTCAAGACCCAAAGAGATGGAATCGAAATCGAGCGTGGCAAATGATTTGTTTTTTATTTCATTTTTTTTTCTTATATTCCTTTCCATTTAGAATTGTTTTGCCTTTAAATCTGATTAGAACGTTGCCACCAAAACTAGTTCCCATTGGGAACGGCGGGCGCTCAACTCGGCTTCCACAAAAAGCAGACGTAGATACAATGAGCTCTCGAGTGGCTACAATAGAATCCGTATTGACATTTGCATGGTAAATGAGATTTGAGAGATCGATCTGGTAGCTATTTATTTATTTATTTGCGCCATAAGCGGATTACAAAACAAATTGTATTTGAAAACTTTATCCGGTTAACCTAGTCAAACATTTTCGGAGGGGATATCCCAAATAATGATCACAGCTGTCCCTCAATGCGACTTTAATTTCGGTGAGAAACGAGATCTTTTCAAACTGAAACTGTCAACGTGAATGGTTTTTCCATAAATTAAATACAACGAAAATTGTAAAGAAGCCTCTGGAATACAGTAGTTTAATGGTAATTAAGCCCAGAACAAGATTTTTGATCTGTGTATATCTTAATCAAGTTTTTTTTGTTTAACAACTTACTAATTTGGGTAATTTTGAGATAATTTGCGGGTTTTTGTGTTGTAGGGTTTTATAGTTTTAGGTGACAGCAAACGATATAGGACAACTTAAATCACAAGAAAATGTCCATAAATCTATGCTTTACCCAAAATATTCCCACCCAAGTTGAACTAGATTTCTTGGAAAACCAAAGCCAGAATAAATCAATGCCATTTCTGGAACTGCTTATTGTGACCTGATCTCAATAATAAAATATATTGGCGACCAGGAAACCGAACAAAATGGATCTTAAAAGCGGCTAATTTACTAAGGGGCTTTGTCCAGTTGAATTCTTTGTTCACACTTTGCTTCTACACAATATTAGACCCCACCAAAGTTGACTTTTGCCTTTGATTTATAGGTAGAAGCCCATTAAGAGGGGTTTTATAAGCTAAACAGGTGTGAAACGGACAAATAAAAGATCAGTTGCGTTCATATAACCCGCAATTAGAAGCTGTTCAAAGGCGGCAATATAATTTCAAGTATATATAGAACCAAAGCGTAATACTCTCTTACGTGATGAGATATCAATAAGACATTTATTTCGTGTTTCCGCTTGGCATCCACCGAATGAGTCAAGCTCTCAGGAATTTCGCATGGTTTTTGGGTATTAACTAAGAGGGGAAAAGAACGTCATTTAGTTAGAATCTCCAAGTCCCCCCTGAAGGCAGCAAACCGATAAATTGTTTGCATACCCAAAACGTTTTCTATATGCGAAAATTAAGCTTTAATAGCGGCAATTAATGGAGATGAAGATGCTGTATGAACCCCGAGGGCCTACCCACATAAGCGTGGCATACGTCAACGGATCTATCTGTAGATGGCTTCAAGGGATTTCCCCGTTTACCACGATCAAATTATCAATTCAACGTTTTATTTTTTAATCCCAATTGTTGTCACCCAAAATGGAACAGAAATCGCTGGGCACGTAAGATCCATACGTCGGCGTTACTGGCAAGACTATTTTGCATTCTTAATTATATGCATAAAAAAAAAGACAAAACCACATCTCCGTTTGTTTGTCTTGGTTTTTAGTTTTTGTGTGCGGTGAATGTTGTTGATTCTATTTGGGGGAATGTCTCGGATCGGTTCGGTACAATACGATTCTCGCTTCTCCGGGCGATCTATAGCAAGTGTTTGGCCGTCATCCCATCTCGTCGAGTGGCCACGTCCCTCAATCTTCGCCACTCGAGAATCTCTTTCGGCTTTACCTTGCTTATTTCCCCCTGTTAATGCGATTCCGAGTCCATTGCCACTGCTCCGGTGCTCTGGTAACTGGCCGTGTCAGGTAATCTTTGTCAACTCTCCGCTGATTAAATCGGCCGCACTTCACCCATACCAAAACATTGGAGAATACCCCCAAAAAGAATACAAATAAAAAATGAAATACAGGCGGCAGGCCACTCACTTGTCTCACTTAAAAGGTGATAACAAGATGCTCGACAGGCAAAGCTACAAAAAATTAGAAACATTTGCTGGGCTCTGGCTACCGAGGCAAGAGCTCCGGCCAAAATGACAGATGGAGCTCTCCGATTTAAGCCCCAAAGCAAATAAATCTGTAATAGAAATGTTGGCAATCTTCGCCTTTGCTGTTTGCCCAAGCAATTCTCGAAACTTTAATGATATATTAATATGAGATCAGTGCTGGATTTTGGATTGGAAGAAACAACTATCGAATCCGGGGCTAGGATCAGCGAGTAGAAAACAAACAAATAACAATAATAACAAACCGTCTTTTGGGGATTTTCGGCAATTTGTTTAACAAATTCCTCCCAAGAGAAACGCAAACATCTTGGGATTATTCAAAAAAACTATAATTTATTAATGGAAATCAGCTTCTAGCGGTGACTCACTGATAAAGTGGGTATTTTCATATTGACTCAACACAAAAGACTCAAACCGATTCGTTTCGATTCGATTTGAAAAAGGTCGAATTCAGAATTCAATGCTTTCGAACTAGAATTTTGTAAACATGTTTGCCATGATTTATCTTATATATCCACTACAGAATGTAAAGGGAAACTTGATTTGGATTTGGCTCCGCAGATCATGTTTCAAATTTCATATTAATTAATCGATAAATTCCATTTTTTGCATCTCCGATCGTGTGTGTTGATATAAGGCTTTTGTGTGGATCATTGACGTTAAATGCTTTCTTAGAATTTAAAATTAGCCAAAAATAGACTCGCCTAAAAGCCGAAATAACCATTTAAATAATGGCCATATTATTTATAAGACCATAAACCGTTGATTTAATAATGAAAGACGTATTAATCAAACATTAATGGGCCCATGGAAGCCCTACTTGGGTACTGGGTACTACACCGAATGGGCGGGGTGGCCGGAGAGTGTGCAAGCTGGTCAAGGTTTGCCCTTAATTATGTTCAACATTAAAATAGAATTAGGGTTTTCCCGCAATCAAACTCAAATTTCTGGGCCGACACCGTCGAAACGGATCTAGAAAAAAAGACGCCCACACGGCACAAGACCACCAAGGGCCCTTCACTGAAGAGGCTCAGAAATACCCACAAAAAAAAAAAAAAATAGGCAAAACCAATTGCAACTTAATGAGCAAAAAGGGCGGCCAAAAGAGCCAAGAAAAGAATGCCCGAAAGAAAGTAGGCAAATCCATCGATGAGCTGATCAGACCAAGGCGAGCACCAGTCCAAACATCAAAGCCGGCAAAGTCAGCCCCATCAAACATAATCGAGACAAAACAAAAGAATCGAGGGAGAAAAGTTGCCAATCGTTAAGAGCTGTATAAATAGATACAAGTACAGTGGTCACTGGGAACTTGGAAGCTACAAGTGAAACAAGAAGAAAGTTATTAATTGAATAAATTAGAAGATAAAGGATGATAATGTAATGTAAAGATAGTAAAGAACAATAATAACAATGAAAAATAAATAATAGAGATGATATGAAGTCAAAGTATTAGCTTAAACTTCCTAGCTTGATGCAGTTTAAGTTTAAATTAGGTATATATTAAAAAACAAAGTTTTATGAAGATAATCTAAAGGTTTTTCCTATTTTCGGATAACAGATAACAGATAATGTAAAGATTAATGTGACCAAGTCAAAATCTTGGAAAATTATTCATTTGCTGAATAGCTCAATGTTCAGAATTCCCACTTGGGAATTTTAGTGCAAAGCAAGCAGAAAATACGGTGATGATCAATTTTCATGCTCAAAATATACTTTTTGTTGTACAGATCTTATAGATTTAGTAAAAATAAACTAAATAGATTGATAAACTTATAAAACTACTTTTAAACTCAACATAAACCCTTTTTTATTACCTAAGAAATATACTATAGTCTCTTACCCATCAAATCCCTTTTTAGTTTCCCAACTAACTAATAAGATATTTATAATCTCACAAATACACCTTGCTAAACCTATAATAAACACGTTCAACATCTTCCAAACCCTGGTTAAGCCATGAAATTAACTTAAAAAAACATTAAATAGAACCCTGAAACAAATCCCATACGTTCTCTGTAATTAGAATTCTTTATAATTTACGAGCAACTACTGTGGCAGTGGCAACACACAGAATGAGAACCGTACAAATGTTATGACATGCGAAATCCGGCAAGAAAGCCAGCAAAAACAACAAACACTTACACTCGCAAAAGGTTTGCGCATCGACGCCGACAGAGGCAGCGGCGTCGACAGCAACACGGCGCTGTTCAGGTGGGCAGAACTCAGGTGAGCAGAGCGACTTATCCGCTAAGCTCGCTTCAGTTCGATTCTTGAGGCCGTTTAGATCGGTTCTGTTTTTGGCGACACGGCGCACCCAAGAAGAATTCTTCGCTGCGAGAAGAAGACGCGACTGAACTGAGAGATACGATCAGAAGAATTTGCAAAAATAAGAATCGGTATCCCCAACAGCAGCCCGAAAACAGCTGAGTGTTTCGCGAGGAGCCGCAATTTGAATAAATTTAAATTAAAATTCAATTTTTTCACGAGACACCTCGTAAAAAGCCCAATTAAGAACCGAACCGAGAGACTGACAACCGGAGCGAGACTCTGAGTATAAATACTCCAGATTGTGATATACTTACTAATTACCTTAAATTGTGTGTGTGATAAATTGCTGTAATAATCAAACAAATCCCCCCCCCGGGAGCCGAGAAACAACAAATTAACAAATTAACAAAGCCAACAGAAAACAAAAAACAAAAAAGTAAGTAAAGTAACAGACACAAAAATAAATACGACGGGGAGTGAAAAAACAAATCGAAAACTGGCCAATCAAGTTGAATCAAATAAAGAGTGATAAGACTTCCGCATGCCTAAATAATATTTACAATAAATAAAACGCAAGAAGCGGCGACGAACAAATTTATTAACTTCTGTGCCGTGTAAGACAAAAAGCCACAGAAAACACACAGAAAATTCGAACGAACAAATCTGGCAGACACAAACTCGAATTGCAACTTTTGTATTCCGGCAAATTGATTTTATAGAATCGAAAACAATTGATTGCCACAATTACGTCAAAGCCAAACAATCGGCAGAGCCATTTCGGGAGAAAGGCCAAGATAAAAGCTTGCCCAAAAGCAACAAAAAACTGTCGCAACAACAAGCACTAACCGAATTAATAATAAATACAAATCAGGCTTTTAGCCAAACCAAGACCAGAGACCATAAATATCAAACAAGTTGCCAACAAGCCAAATGCAAAACAAAGACAACCCAAAGGCCCAAAGACAACTGGAAAGTTCAGGTTTCTTAATTTTTTGACATTTTTGTTGTATTTCTTCTGACGCTAGCACAGCCAAAAAGTGGCAGGAAGAAGGGGGGAGAACAGGGAAGACTTAGATGTGTTACCAAAAAAAAAAAGTATATTTTAGAGCAGGCGGATGTACGAGCTCGTGACATGATCACAGGGCTTCCAGGCAAAGGGGAGCTCAATTTCACACTTAAAGAATGGGCCTTGCCATTTAATTACACATTATAGTTTAAATAATTATAAAAAAATAGGTGTGCATAATTAAAGTTATAGAAATTAAGGGTATTAGCACACTTTTGTTTAAACTTAATAATGCGAGAAGTAGCATTACAAGTGTTTGCTGGGTGCTAATTAGCTTGTAAATACTTTTTAATATTTACTGAAGGTATGAGATAAACATAATTACATAATATTGGCAAAGATGTGGAATACCATATAATAAGATTTGTAAATTCTACCGAATTCCCAACAATCCTCAAGCCTAAACCTTTTCAAAATCTAACGTCTCAATCTAGATTTAAGCAAGTCCCCCAAAAGTATAGCTTAAACTTGTCTAAACCTCTCTTAAACACTCTTAAAATGTAACAAGTTTATCTCCTAAATATTTCATTCTTTTCCCCACAATAAAAACTAACAAACTCTCTTCTTTTCCCTTGCAGATGCAGGACTATTGGCACATTCCCCGCGCCTCGCTGGCCTCTTCCTCAAGCTCGGCCATCAGTTCGGCCAGCTCCTCCAAGTCCTCGAACAAATCGCACTCGAATCCGCCCACTCTGAACCAACGCAGCCTGCCCAGCAACAGCAACATCATCAACAACAGTAGCAGCTCCTCGACAAGTGCTGCTGTGACGGCGGCAGCGGCGGCAGCAGTACTGGCAGCAGCCAAGAGGGGATCGAGAAGTTCGCAGGGATCGAGCGACAGCAACAACAGCACGCGGGTGAGTAAGACGAGCCCACGAAGGCAGACTCCATTGGAGCAGCAGCATGACTCTATGGACATTCTCTTCTCTCAACAGAGCGCCGCTTCCGGCTCACTGCTGCTGACGGCAGCGAATCTGGAACGGTTCGCGGAGATCCACAAGAAGCAGGAGCGTCACAACAAGATGCTGATCCAGCCCTCCAGCAATCCATCATCGTCCAACTACAATGCCAATCTGGCGCTGGCTTCTAGCAACGGCAAGGATGCAGTGATTGCCATCGATGGCCAGCAGCAGGCAGGCGAGGCCGAGGCGGATCCCAATTTGCAGTACATTAAAACCAAAGACCTGGACACCGTGTCCATTGCCAGCTCCATGCACTTCACAATGGTCAATGGTGAAGGCGGTCCGCCCAAGAAACCGAAGCGTGGCCTCTGCGATCGTGGACGCCAGGTCACCGTCTTGATTGTCAGCATGAGCACCATCTTCATGCTGCTCATCATGGGCATGGTCTATGCGCTGGAGAGTAAGTTTCTCAAACTAAACCAAGTGCCTAGAACTTGATTTTAATTCTTAAATCCTTTCTTTTTAGTGCGCGCCCGCGACATGCCCAAGAGCTAGTGTTCAATCCTGTCTGTCTAGCCCAATTAGTTTATTATTTATTGTATTGTCTTTGTCCCCAATTATTATTATTATTATTATTAATATTATTATTGTTATCGTGTCGTCGTCTTGGCGCTAGTTGTGTAAGATATTTATTAAACGATTGTGTTTGGATTGGAGGAGCAAGAGTCGAAGTCGGAGTCGAGTCAGACGAAGCTGAAGGGAAATTTCGTTAGTATTAAGCGCCCTATGCTACGGAGACAGAGAAACATACGAGGAACTAGTAGATCTGTATCTGGATCTGGGATCGGATGATAGTAAATGCTGTATTTTCTGGTTTACCAACTAAGTTATTTATCCCTGTGATATGTTTAATAAAGTGAATTTTCTACATTGTACACGAAAAGGGAGAGTGTGACTCACAAGCACCTGTATCAAGGGGTCAATAACTTTTTGGGGGTTTTGCAGCTATGACCGCAGCCTTAGCAACCAATGATGGTTGTGTTTAAAGGAGGGAAAACCCGCTTTTGGCGTTAAACCCAAAGATAAAAGTTATACTATTATGAGGTTACTCATAAAGATGTCTTCATTTTGCTATAAAATCTTCGTAGTATTTGCAATGAATATCTATTGCTCTTGATTTTTGAACATTACTCGGAACCTAACAACACTTCTAACCAATCCATAACCATGGCAACACCTTACTGGGCACTATAGGTTCTAATTATCACCCTTAACTGGGACTTACCTCCACCTCCGGCAGCGTTTGTGTCCAATTGTACTTGTCCAAGTTGCAGCCGTTGCCAGCATTGGGCTGCAGCTTGCCCAACTCGCCCTTTTCGGTTTCATCGTCTACGCTTTCAATGGGCTTGGAAATGTCATCGCGATTCGAGGCAGCTGGCTCTCCACTAGCGCTATCCAGCAGCTGCTGTCGTTTTCTGGAGGAGAGACATTGAGAAATGGTTAATAATCAATGGAAAACATAATTTGAGGCATAATTATAAAGATTTTTGTGATTAAAAACAAGCTTAAGTTAGATATTTTTACTGTTTTTGGGTCACAAAGTCATTTTAGGTTGATCTTTTTAAGTATCCTCGCAATATTACTTAAGAAATTAGTAAAAAATTACTTAAAAACCAACTAATATTACTATTCTTAGGTTGGGAAAGTAACCAATTACACCGCAGGCTGACTTTTCATTAATTTTTAGGGATAAAATTGTCATCTTTAGTCGAAAACTTACTTGTTCTCCTCCTCCTTGATGATGGCAGCAGCCTCCTCGTCGGTGATATCACATATTTTGTTATCGTCAATCTCCTTTTGGCGAGCCTCACGCGCCGCGCGCTCCTTCTCATCCTTGACCTTCTGGGCAGCTTCGCGCGACTTCACCTTCTCCTGGTGCGCGCTCATAGCCAGCGCGGATTCCTTTTTGAAAACATCGAGCAGCATCTTCTCCCACTCGGCCTGCTTGGCGCCCGTGAAGAAGTCGGTTTTGCGCCGTAGGAAACTGGCCAGGGTGCCGAGGAACTGCAAACACAAAAAACAATGATTAATTCGAATTTCGGGCACAAAGGAGTTGAGTCTTTGTTGTTATTTTTACCTCGGGCACGCCGCCGCGGTGCTTTTCGGCCACGGCCAGCAGAATATTGTCGTACAGTCCTTCTTCGTTAGACATGCTGTAGAGTGTTTGTACTGCTAGGAAATAAAATTCGGTCGATTTCTGGAAGATTCGATAAAATAATTTTTTGTTTTATCTGCCGGCACATGTGAATTAGGGATGTGAAAACCTCAACGATTTCGTCTATCGATGACAGGTATGGATAGGCTGTATCGATAGGTTCAGGGATGGCGAAGCATCATGGAGTAGCTATCGATAAAGATATACCAAAAAGCTTTCAATTAGCTTTCAACAGTGAACATCGTGTAACGGTATTTACTCGTATTTAAAAAACTAGCAAAATAATGTTTTATATTAAAACAAATTAGCTAACAAATTCAAACTTAAAAACTATATATTTTTTTTTATTAAAAAGCTTGTTAAGAGTAAATAATATGTTAAATTCAAACAACAAACTTCACCCATCCAAGCTCTCCCCTTTCTGCTCCACTCTCTTCGCTCTCTCTCTCTCTTTTGGGGGATAGTGGCGATTTTCGTCCTATTCGTTCATTCTCTTTCGTCTTTTAAAGGAATCGCACGTATTCTGAGCACGCGGAAAACGCAGCAAATAAAATAGAATCCAAATCAAAGTTTAAGTGGAAGTGTGCTAAAAGCAAGTGAAAAAGTGAAAAACTTTCGAGTTCTCGGTTTTTGTGGAAAGCGCAAAATTCGAAAATCGGTGCATAGCGGAGCGGTTTATCAGCAAAGTTTACAGTAAATGAAAAAATATGCGGAATTCCTATTTGTGGCTTAGAAAAATGTGATATGCAAATTACTTTACCCACACTTACACACACATGTATAATTATAGCGTGCTTGATATATTTACAAATAGTTGAGGAATAAGGAAAACGTAATACGGAAAAAAGATAAGGGTTCCGGGCGCTCCCAATCCACTTCCCTCTGCCCCTCTCCCACACCATTTCCCGTAGGAGTTTCTCTGGAAAATCAATAAATTTTACATGGCGCACTCACACACTGACAAACAGACAGGCAGGCGGGAGTGCTAAAAGAAGGAGAAAAACAAGAGAGCAGGAAAAAGTAGGGAGAGCTTCAGCTCCCACACCACAAATACAGTGGGGGGCGTAAAATTAAGAGCCTTTTGGGCCAGTGATTTATGAACACATAAAATTAATGATAAATAACTGTGTTTACTTGATTGTTTTGCAAAGTGTTGTCAAATGTGTTTAAAAGTGTTTAAGTGCAAAAAAAGTACAAAAAAAAGTATAAAAACCCTCAAGTTGTTTGATGTTCATTACACGAAAAAGTTTTCCGGTTACAAGTATTTTTATGATAAAAATTGATTTGTGACTTATTTTGGTGACAAGCACTGTCGGTGTTTGGTTGTAAACAAACGTAAAAGTTTAAGTGTTAAATAAATTGGTTTTTTAATATGTTTGTAAAAAAAACAGTTTTTTTTTAAGTAATGAAGTTAATTTTTAAATATTTGATTTTTTCTTTGCTTTTATTTATTTATTTAATTTTTTTGTGTACGGTTTAGTGACCGAATAAAAACATTTTTTTTTTTAATTTATATGTTTTTAAAAAAGTTGATCCAATCTAAGTGACCGACACTGTGACAGTGCGGCTTTGCCGCCCTGCCGCAAGCTACTCGTTCTTGTTCTTGTTTTTGTTCCTGCCGCTGTGAAGTTCTCTTCTCGTTTGCTCTCCACCCCCTTGTTTCTGCTTCTTTTCGCTCCTGCTCGTTGACTATTTTATGGCCTGCGCTTCATTTGTGAATCTTGTTTCGCTATTTCCCGCCCCTTTTCGCCTCCTTCCTGCCCCCGTTGCTCTACTGCAGGCATGTGCCATGCAGACCAGATCTTCGCTCCGCTTCAAGGTCAGAGTAAGGTTAGCTCCGCACCGCGCCTCTCTTCTCTGCTCTGCTCTGAAGGGCCATGGCAGTGATTTCTGCTCCAGTGCCAACCATCCATCCCTCACGCCGAAAACAGTGGCGGCTGAAAAGCTGCGGCCAAGCGATTGCCGCAAATTGTTTTTCCTAATGGTCGCATCAAAATTAATGACTGCCACTTTGTGTTTGTATTTGTTTGGAGCATACTTTTTTGTTACACTGAGAAAAGAGGGTTTACGATATTTTTTCCTCCTCATAAACAGTAATTTGGAAATAAAGTTTCATATTCAAGAACTATTTGATAAAATTGAATAAACATACTTACTTAAAAATTTAAATTAAGCAGTAGGTTTTTTTAGGACACATGTACTAGGCAGACGCCGTAAAGTAGGCAATTCATGTTATTGCTTAATTTAACGGTTTTTTTTATTTGATTAGCGCACTGTTTTATTGAAACATTTTAGTATCCTTTTAAAATATAGCAATGAAATTAATAAAATATATACCCAGATTTATTTTTCGTGCAGTAGTCGGAAAATATTTGCCTTACTGCGTCACTGCCCTTTGACATTTACACTTTCTCTCTGCGTGGGGGGCAGCTTCCGAGCTGGCTCTCTGGTCCACCCACTCTCTTTCTCTCACTCTTTGTCTCTGGGGCTTTTGCTCTCCTGACATAACCGTTATGTAATCAGCACGGCATTTCTTAGTTTGCCGCAAAGAGAGAAAGGCTTTCGCAGTACAATTGCACTTCAATTTAAAGGATAACGTTCTTGCCTTTGTTTTATTACCCATTTCGTCTGTGTTTGTGTGTGTGCTCAAGCACTTAAAAAGGATTGTCTGAAATTGAGTGAGCAAATAAGATACAATAGACCCAGGACTTGAGAAGAGATTGTGCAAGATTTCCCCGAAAGTGTGAACTAAGCCTCCTCGTGCGGCTAAGTGCGTTTAAAGCCCTCTTTAAGCTTATCACGGATTGCTGAAGATGAAAAAGAAAGCAACCGTGGAATGTCTCAGTATTTTTCACATTAATGGTCATGCCTTCGCAGCTCATTCCTTATTGCAAACCCCCTTTGAAATCTGATATATTTTGCGGTCGCGGTTGAAATAAGGTGGCGCCGCAAGTTTGGTTTAATGGTTCAGTGATTTTCCAAACGGAAAACTTTTCAATTGCGTCGCAGCCTCTAAATTGGGTGAGCAGCTAGGGAAGAGCGGAGGCAACCGAAGCAAGTGCCCAAAGCAATTACGATAACATCGCAATCTAGTATTCCCTTAAATGGGGTTCCCTAGAGTATGATTAAAGAATCGTGCAGTCTAAAAATGTATTTATAATTTTATAAAAGGAAATAGAATTTCTTATCTAAAGTGACGTTTGTATAATATAAATAAATTAAATAATATTTAAATAAAAAGCAGGGTATTCAATGATCGGTAGACTAACCTTAGCGTTCCTTCTTGGATTTAAATGGACAACATTAAACATTAAAACCTCCTCTAATTTTCTTACTACTAGCTTCTTAGCACACTGAGTGGATTTGACTCACATAAGCTAGATTGCATACATTTCTTACTTGTGAACATGGTTGACTTTTAATAAATATTGACCATGATTGACTTTCCATTGCTAGGATTACTTTTTGTTGGGGTGAGCCTGATAAGCTCGGTCCCGAGGTCTATTACGGAAGAAGATAAACAGAAGCACCCAGAACAGAGAACTCGGGACTCAAGCCCCGATACCCCATCGAGTGAATCAGCCCCCCGCTGCAATTTACTTGCATTCTGTTTACATAACTCTGCCGAAACGATGGAGAAAGGGGCTCTGGAAGGGCTGCACAACCTACCCCAAAAGTGCAACCGATCCCAGCCAGATACGGTCATTGAAAACTAATGTAAATTGCGACGTTGCTTGTTTATTGACTGCAAACTGTAGTCGCCTCTTAATTGGAGAGGTTTCGGGGCGGTGGGGAGGTGTCCGCACCTATGCCATAAATAGCAAACAGCTGCGATAATTTTCTCGGGCAGACAGGAATTTATGGAGAAAATAAACAAGGGAACCTAAAGCTTTTCCAATAAGTAGTCATATTTTTATGTTATGACTACAAAAAGACCTACGGTTTTTAGTGTCTTAGCTTGAAAAATTTGAAACTTTCCCATATTTCTTTATTTATGTCTAGGGATGTTATGGGAACTCAATAGAGGTTCGTGAATAATCGGATATCTGACAAAATTGCATTTTTTAAATATTGAGCTCTCAAGAATACCTCTAATATTTACAGAATTGTTTGATATGTTTATTAGAATCAAAGTTATAGAATTTAAAAAGCGAGTGCTAATTGCTGGTTTGTTAGCACTTCCCAGATATACATAAAACTTTGGAACCTTCAAGACTTCAAGTTTAATTAGTTACTTAAATATTTTACCCAAGTCGCTAATAAGCAGTACGGTAAAGTTTAGTAATACCATATTGGTTTTTGTCGCCCAATCAAAGTCAATGCAAGTTATCAGCCATTCGACTCATTTTGTTATTAGAGGGGTTACTGAACAAGGTTAATTATAAGCCCTCTTACAGCCCTGGCGCCCACTGTAGGTGGAGATAAAAAAAAGTTCGCATAATTGTAATTACTTCTACGTAATTCCGAAGCGCAATAAAAACACAAAACCGCAAGACGTCCCGGGGGAATCTCTAATTAAACAGTGGGCCAGGCGATAATGGAAACAAATTGTAACTATTTTTAAAGCAATTGAGAAGATCCCTTTCGGAAATCCCCCCCCCGTGGAATCGGGGCACACGGAAACTTTGCACAGCTGACTCAAGTGCACAGGTTGGAGGCCATAAAACAATAGGGGTACCAATAAAGTTGGTCCCGACCGACCACCTGATAAGCCCCCAGCCGGGTCAGATAATGCGCATTAATAATGGCAATAGAACTGCCCCCCACCGATGCCTCCCCCCTCTAATTTCTGGCCTATATCGTATCGTAAATCGCTGGTAAAAAAATTTTATAGTGGCTACTGGAGTTGGGTTCTTTAGTGATTTGAGATTGAGGCACGAAAGAAGGTTTCGCTTTGGCTAATGACTTTTCCATTGTACGGCGGTGATGTTCCAGAGCCTGGCACCCATTAGGACCGCCGATTATCCTCGATAATGGCCTCGTGACATGCCCCATCGTTAATTGCAAACTAACCACACGCAATGTTGTCGACGCATAATTTATTTATTTATTTCGGCTTTCGGGGTTATTGAAACTTGTTGCCTGCGCTTGTTTACATTATAAATAAATGTATATCGCAGGGG